TTGTACAACCAATCTTTAAAGCAGTACATGTTTAATATTGAGTCCTATAAGCTGAAACTCTCTTAATTATTCAAGGGTGATGAAACCACTTTGTGTGTTGTTCCAGTTCTTTGGATCTGTATCCTCTTCCCTGACACAGCACTCTTCACACTCAAATACTTACTATCAGCCTTGGGGGAATCCGGGAATAGAGGAAGGTAGGACCTATTTCGGCTAATATTAGGCAGCTTAAATTCCTGCATTGGTGGACAAGGCAGCTAAGATGTGGACTAGATGACATTTGAGCCTTTTGGGCATATTGCAATGAATTATTCTGCTTGGAGGCAATGTGTCACAGTGGGCAAAACATTGACTTTGGAGTAAGACCAATGATTATTTGAATAACTAGATTTGTAACCGTGGATATATTACTGGATATCTCCAGGTGAGTTTCCCCATAGGAAGAATGAGACTGTTGATATCCGTTGCCTCGTTAGGTAAAGACTTATGTAGTTATTATTATTGGCTGTCCTTTTCATTTGTGAAAACCTGAAGTTACCTTTGCCTCTATCATTTCCTTGTTACTTAATTTATCACCTCCTCCCCACACAAAAATTTCTACCATAAAATTGTGTGTCTGTCCGTCTGTTTTATAATACCCGTATCATCTAATCAAGGCACTAACAGTGGCTATTTCTGAAAAATTTCATATATAATTAGTAACAACAGTTGATATTTTCAAGCGTTAGTTTAAAATGCCCAGAAGGTGATTTTAGCTCCTCTTCAGGCGAGGAAGCAAAAGTCCCATTATTCAGACATATGGGTATGCCAGTTTGAGCTTTTTTTTATTGCAAGGGGCAGCAGTAACCTTTATCTAATTTAAGCAAAACAAGAAAATTTTTGGAGAGAGACTTGGAGGCCTCTGAGAGAGAAACTAGGGTGGCTCTAAGGATCCTGGTACTTGGCGGTATGAACAGATGGAGAGCCTCTTCAGTGGAGGGGTCTTTGAAATTACTCAACTCCAATCACAAACGATCTTTGGGTTACTTTGTACAGGATTAAAATTTGGGGGGAGATAGTTCCCCCCACACCCTTACCAAGTGAGCCTGGCATGAGCCTTGTGCTTATATTTTGCCTGGAGAGACAAACGCTTCAAGATGGACAGTTCCACCAAGGCCACAGGAAACATAGGAGTGGAAGTTCCCAAGAATGAAGTCGGGTATGTTAACAAATGGTTGTTGGCGGCGGTGTGTGTGGATATTGGTCCTAGGAAAGCAGCTTGTGTCTGCTCTCGGAGTTCAGATTTATGGGAACTATGTGAATCGATCAAAGCCCGGAAGGCACAAGCCACTTCGATGTGAACGGAATAAACACCACGCTTTAAATTCAGGGGCTCTAAGAAACTTCTCTCCACCCTGTAAATCTGTTCAAATATGTAGTCAGTGTTTGGAAATTCAACCGGTAAAGATTTATAAAGTAGTAGATAGGACGGTGAAAAGTCATGTTATCTGAGAAATGACCTCAGGAACTAGTGGAATTCCAGTATTTATCTATCAGGAGAGATGTTTAAAGATTCTTGCCCTCCAAGTAGCTCCCTTGAGCCCAGACTCCGCTGGATTGGACTCTACCTCTTTGACCTCGTTGACATTTCATCAGGCAAGTGTTTAACCGAGCTAAGTGTTGCTTTTATCATTTGTGACATAGGACTGATAATTCTACCTACATAGTTTTGTTAGTGTTCAATGACATGATCTGTGGTTCCCAGTGCATTCTCTGATAAACTCAAAGTACTGCTACCCCTTCTTCCAAATTTCTCATCACCCTCAAAAAACATTTATTCAATATTTTCCTGACTAGGCATTGAGGAAATAGACTAAAAATGTATGGTCCCTACCCTCTCTCTTTAAAGCTGTACCCATTTAGTTTCCTTTCTAAGTCCTCAGCTTCTTCTAAAGCTGATCTAATTCTGTAGCTTCTTATGAGAATTACATTAAAAAAAACCCCAGCTAAATCAATTCAGTAATTATATTAGAGTAGCTACTGCAGTTTGTCATCATGGGATGGACTTTTGGCAGTAATTCCCAAGTAGTCTTTTCTTTGGATGTGAAGAGGTAGCTGTTATCAAAGAAAGAGGTATCTACAGACACATGCATTTGAGAAATACAGGGGTAAACAAAATAAAAACCGGTTCTTCAGTGACAGACTTCTTAGAGGCTCCGATAAGCATCCCCAGGAGGGCGATACAGTTTGAAGCCATTTCTCAGGTTTATCTCATCACAGAGCTCCCCTTTCTCGGGACGCTTGTGAGAACAGGGACCTGAGGAACACACGTTAGGGAAATGGTGATAGAATTAAATCTTGCAGTTTATTAATTTTCTCTTTACTAAATTTTAAAAGGTATTCTCTCTGCTACCATCTCCGTTGGATTTAAACCAGAGAAATCCAGGGACAGGAGCATGGGACTGGAAGTTAGAGCATCTGAACCAGTTCTGTGTCTGGGAAATGGTTTCTTTCTCCTGGGCTTGTAGTCTCCCATCTTTAAATGAAAGCATCGTACCTGCATGAGCTCTGACTCACGGACACTGAGGCTTCTCCAGTTTTATGCAAGGGAATCTAATTGTGTTTAATGTAGAAAAAGGAAGAAACTTTTTCCATTTCCCCCAAAGGGTTTCTCATTATTCTCTGTCTTGCCCATTTAGAGCTTCTTTATTTATTTCTTTACAGAACCCATTTATCCCTCTTGAGTCCCAATCATTGTTTTTAGATTTGATATGATCAAAGTTGCCACTTCTGTCTTTCACTAACTGGGTATCTTAGGATCTCGTTTAGAATTCTCGGAAACCAAAAGCCAGTAAGTGAAGTGAAAGGGGCAGACGTGTCACCTTCTGGGAAACTCCACAGTGCCATTATCACTTTAATGGGGATGTTTTAAAGGGAGAAGGTAGTCTGTATTTTCCCTGTGCTGTCTAATCTGTTTCTTCCTGCTCATCAGGAGAGTTGATGCTGGAATAGGTTAAGACTTTTGTGGCTGTTGGGATGGGGTGAGTGTATTTTGCCTGTGAGAAGGGCATGATATCTGGGGGACCAAAGGGTGGAGTGTTATGAGTCGAGTCATGCCCCCCACCAAATTGAAGTCCTAACCCCAGTACCTCCGATCGTGACTGAGTTTGGAGATAGAACATTTGACAAGGCAGTTCGTCTAAAATGAGGGTATTAGGGTGGACCCTAATCTAATATAACTGGTGTCCTTAGGAGAAGAAGACATTTAGACACAGACACGCAGAGGGAAGTCCATGTGAAGACCCATGAAGAAGACAGCCACCTATAAGCCAAGGAGAGAGGCTTCGGAAGAAATCAACTGCTGACATCTTGATCTCAGACTTCTAGCCTTCAAGACTCTGAGAAAATACATTTCTGTTACTTAAGCCACCCAGGTGCTCTGTTAGAGCAGGCCTGCCCCGCTAATACACCCACCTGTGTGCCGACACCACCCTGTCCTGATTAATGTAGCTTTATAGTAAAGACATTCAGTATTGAGGAGAGGTTGTGAGAGTGGACATTGTTGCCTTTTTCCTGATCTTAGGGGAAACCGGTCAGTCTTACATCATGGAGTATGATGTTAATTGTGGGCTTTTGTTGTTTTTATCTTGTGATGCCTTTTATTTGATTGAGGAAGTATCTTCTAGTCTTAGTTTTCAGAGGGTTTCTTTCATGAATGGGTGTTGAAGTTTGTCAGATGCTTTTTCTGCATCTATTGAAATGATTCTATGATTTTTTTTCCTGTTCTATTAATGTGGTGAATTGATTGCTCTGATTGATTTCTGAATGCTGAATCAACCTTGCATTGCTTAGATAAATCCAGTGGGTCGTGGTATATAATAATCCTCTTGAAATCTTGCTGCACTCCTCACACTAATATTTTGTGAAGGATGCTTGCATTTATGTTTGTGATACCCTTCAGGTCTGGGCAGCTTTCTGGAATGATTTATTTGATTTCGTCCCTGGGTGCAGCCATTTATTAAAAATGATCTTCAAAAATATATTTTCCCATAATTTTTAGATATGCACTGTTGGGAGGTGTGTTTTTGAGATACCATCTTTTCTAGTGCAGAGAAAATGGCTAAATAAGATTGTTTCATTGTGTGTGTTTTTTTGCAAAAGAGTTTATTGATTTTAGTTTACA